AGTTTTCAACAATTTAAAAATTAAATTGAAACCAGTGGTAGCTAAACTAATAATGGAATGAGCTCATACGCGACTTCTGACGGGTTAATACTTATATTGAAATTATTTTTAAAAATATTTTAATTTAGTTACCAATTAAAATTATGTTATTTGTATACTTATTGTGTTAACTTTCTTTTAGTTCAATCTTTTGGAACAGAGGATCGTCCAACAGAATTTAAGGTTCCAGCACAAAGTCAAATATACAACTATATACTATTTCGTGGCTCTGATATTAAAGATATTAAAGTTATTACTCCTCAAATAGCTCTCAATGACCCTGCTATTGTACAGGTAACTAATTCATAAACCATAAACTCGTTCTATGTAAACTAATTATTATATCATTATTTATAGCTATCAGTACCTCCAAATACTATGGGTGGCTTTAATCCTAATTATCAGTCTATGGATGAAATTGGTTCAGTCAATCAGGTTGGAAACTCTTATAATCCTATGTCTGGTGTGAACTTAAATGCTGGACCATCACATAAGCAAGCAAGTGAGTCTCCTCTGATTTTAGATCCACAACCAGTWATTCAGCAGAAACAACCGATGACTGCCCAATCTGGTATGTACACGCATACACAAATCCAAATGCTTGGGCATATTTGGCATGCTTGTACATATTGCTATTGGGTACTATTGTAAAATTCTTCCAAAATCTTTATGCATGTCAATCAAATTTCACAAATCGATAAGAGCTTATTTTTATTATTATTGATGTTCAAACAAAAAGAAATTAATTGTAAATAATAGAAAATTAATTTTTTAGATTAACTCAACATATCATAAATTTCTTTAAAGTTTCCTAATTTTTAAATTGATATGTTTAGTAGAAGTTCAGATTATATTTATAACAATTTTAATGTGAATAATTTTTCCTTATTYACTATATAAATATAAGTTAATAAGAACATATTTTAGACATTTAAATTCTTAACCTTGATGCTAAGCTTTTTATTTTGAGCAATTATTATGCATAAACTAAGAATTGTATGTAGTTATATAAATATATTAATAAAATGCATGTTAAGGATCTATTACTTAAGATTGCAAGCGATAAATGTTTAGGTTTTAAAACTTAAGTGTTTTTTGTGTGTAACCTATAGTAAAAAACAATCCTGAAATGTTAAATTTCAGGAGTGGTTGCTGGTCAAAAATTAGATATTAGTATGTTAGTATGTTGATACTTGAACTGTAGGAATATAGCGATTTTTTAAAATTATTAGGAAAAAATCCTAAAGCTTTAAAATTTAGAACTGAGTTTATTACTTATTCTTTTACTAGTTGTATAACTTAATAAATACAGTTAATACTATTTATGAGCATTTAAAAATATCAACAATATTTGTCAAAACTGCAAAATAAAGCAAGTTTTTTTTTGTTTACAATAAAAAAAAAAAAAACATAAGTTAAACACACAAGAAACAAACTAATTATAAGGTTCCTCATAAAAAAATTTTATAGGTATAAAAAAACTACAATATAAAGAGTCACATATAATTCGCTTTTAAAGATCAAATATTTATTTAATATGGATCACATACAACAATACACAGATAATTTCAAAATATTCAGATACATTTTAATCAATGAAATATGACACAAAAATAACAAGGATGTCAAAGTTGTTCTCCACTTAAACCCCATTACCATAACTCTGTCATTTTTATTTTTTAAATCGATTGAAAATTTGTTCCTAAATCACAAACTACTTGTAATACAAWACAACTGGATAATATATTTGATTTCTTATTGGCTGAAGTAAATTCTAACTACCCTATTTCAAATGGACAGATAAATTACAAATAGCAATAATAATATAGACCTGAAATCTTCTGCTCAGAATCAATTTCTTATTAAAATCAAATTTAATGTATTATCTATTACATGCAGTATACCAGACAACTACAAGGAAATGGACCAAGTTAACTGGTTTTTATTTCTYGTAAATAATGCATACATAATTATGTCTGAGAGACCAGTAATATAACTTTCAGAACATTTTTAGCTATCTAGATTTGTTGAATGTTAAATTATAAAGAATGTACTGTTTATAGACATAATGCTTTTTTAATATGTACCATTGCTTTTTTTTAACATCAAATCATGAAATTCTGATGTTTATTTTATTTTTATATACTTAAAAAACAACCTTTTTAAAGATGTCGTCCTAGATTTGATATCTGGTGGTTCCCGTTCATCTACTCCAGCTCAGTCAAATGTATTTAATGGTCAACGTAGTAGCCCAACTTTCGATCAAACTGTTCAACCAGGAAATCAGCAAAGTCCTGGAACCAGAGGAGGGAGGAATCAGCGTAACAGATCCACATCTTCTTCTGATACTCGTAAACAAGTTAGGCAACAAGGGTAAATATTGATTTTTAAATTAAATTTGAATACTATATAGAGATCAAAACATTGTTATATTTTAAAAGGCAAAATTATCAAAGAAATGATCAACAGCAACATTACCAACAACGTAATGACCAACAGTATCAAAGGAATGATTTTCAACATCAGGATAATAATCAACATTTTGTAAGTGCTATTTTTTTTATTATTTATAACATATATATTTGTTTATTATGGCCTGAATAAAAATATTAATTACACTTTAAGGTTAATCGTCAAGGGGGTAATAGGAATATGAATGGTCGTAATTGGAATAATCAGCAGCAACAACAACAACAACAACAAGTTAGAAGACCAAATCCAGTTCCAAATAATGCTACCGGAGGTCGTTCATTTTATAATAGGTCTACTGGTCTTCCAGCTCCTAGTAAAGCACAGGGACCTAGAACAAATTCGTTGAAGTTTGATGAAGATTATGATTTTGATAAGGCAAATAGTGAATTTCAGGAGATTATAAAAAAACTATCTAGAACAAAGATAGGTAAGTTAACACTAATTTATAAAAAAATTAAATGCATTTATACAAGTCATATGTAACATATTAATGTGAAACCATAACAAATACATTCCCCTTCATGCATAACTTTTTATTTATCCCTGAAAAAAAAAATGAGGTTTATAGTAAAAAACGTCGGGATCACAAGAAAAATAGTTAAAAAATATTTGAGTCAAACTTCCCCTTAAAGTTGATCAAAGTTTAATTTGTGCCAAATATGGCACTATATGCACCAAAAGTTTGTTTGTGCTATATTTGGCCATCATTCATTAAAGTATACAATTTTTATTTTTGCCATTTCTGGCCACCATGCACTCAAATATATGCTCTATGATACTCATGCATAACTGCATAAGTCCAATATTAAGTGTGGTATTTTTTATTTTTAGAGCTAAAAAAAATTCAGTTTCTATGTTTTTAATGCATGTTGTGCCAAATATGGCACATACTAAGTTTTTGTTATATTTCAAAAAGTATTATACGTAAAAACTGGTACTAAGTTTTAAAATAAAGCTGACAAACACAGTGGTATTTTTTTTTTTTAATTCAGCAATATACATTTTTTGTTAAGATAGCATAAAATAAGTGATAACGGCTTTTGGTGACAAACATATTTRAAGCTGATTAAATTTCATCTATGTTTCACAATTTTACCGCTAAATAGATGTACCTTACATCAAAATTGTTCGTTTTTTTGTGCCGAATCTGGCCGTATGTGCAGTAACGTCATAGCTATATTTTCACAGCAAAAAATGCATTAAGGGGATTTATTTATTTTTATCTCTGTTGTGACAATTTAAAGAATGATAAAAAGTGTTGTTTTGTCATCTCCACTTGGTATATACTCTTGCTCCTAAATACCTTCTAATTGTGATCTGAGTCAGTGTTTGGAAAGAATGTCGTTGTTCACGCGTGTTCACACGTTCACGTTCATAATTAGTGAACGATACGCAAATGTCGCTCATTTCTTTTAAATAGAACGTGAACAGCGTTTATATTTTTAATGAATTTGAACAATTTTGAAGACGCTCAATTTATTTACTATTTAATAAATATAGTATGTATATAATTTAGATACTTAAGAAAATGTATATGCTCTAAAGTCTAAATTGTTTTTATTTTTGGGTTGAGACCTRTATGTTTATGGGTTTTTATACAAACTGCTGGTAAACTATTTATAAACAAAAAATTAAATGAACGACCTTATGAATGCGTTCATTTTTTCAAAGAACGTGAACGAGTTCCTTTTTCAAGGAGTGAACGTGAACGAATTCATTTTTTTAGTGAATGTTCCGAACCCTGATCTGAATATAGATGTATAGTTAAAAGTATATCAAAATCAGKATAATATGCTTTGTAATACCTACCAGCATTTAGGTCAGGCGTGGCAAATTATTTGAATGCTATGTGTCATAAATAACTTTTTTTTTCGAACATGGCATAAAAATATTATACAGGGTGATTTTTTTATCGAAGAACACTCATACTCATACACTCATACTTTTTTAAATAATGAGTGTTCTTTGATAAAAAATCACCCTGTATATTATATTATAATGAAAATATTTAAATTTTTTTGTGTTCCATGGATTTGTTATTGCTATCCCTGATTAAAGTAAATTCAACACCTTTGGTGGTGATTGATAGATTATAATTAACTAGTTTCTGGAACAGTAATACCTTGACTTTTTTTTTATTGTATAATATATTTATCTTTTTAGATGATGGTTTTGATGATTCAGCTGAAGAAGTAACTGTAGTTAATGGTGCTCCATCAGTAAATGGTGATTCATTACCCCATTTAAATGATGGASAACTAGTTAATGTAAAAAAAACTCATCGTATTGAAAGTGGAAATGAAACCGGTGTAGTAGAAAATGAAAATGAAGGAGATGATGATCAAAAAACGTTTTATGACAAATCCAAATCATTCTTTGATACTATCAGCTGTGAAGCAGTTGAAAGGAGCAAAGGGTAACAACTTAATTATTTATTTAAAACTTCAAAAATAATTATATTWAATTATTATTGTTATTTTGTAGACATTCACAAAGGACTGATTGGCGTACGGAACGTAAATTAAATTCAGAGACATTTGGTGTAGCAATGGCAAGGCGTGGTCAATACCACCGTGGCCGTGGTGGTTATTATAATAATAATAACACTAATTACCGTGCCAACCCTAACGCCTATAATAATGGTAACAATTTCAACAACAATCGTCAAGGAGTGAATTATAACTACCGTCAACAATCAAATAATGGATACATGCGTAATAATCCTGGTAACCGTGGCTATAACTACCGACCAAGAGCAACTAACAAACARGATCAGCGTCAACCAAATGCAGTATCTCCTCAACGAGTTTCAGGTTTTTATTATTTTTAAATAAGTTTTATATTCTAACATTTTGAATTCACATTGGGTAAAATTAATTTTTAATTTTTTTTTTTTTTTTTTTGCAGTAGCCTGAAGATTTCAAAGTCTCTATTTCAATATTGCTGTATATTTAACTAAAAAAAAAAACACAAAAAAAAGTTTAAAAAAAATCTTTCCCGTGGAAAAATTACTTTGTATATAGTTTACATTTCTTCTCTTTATAAACCCACGATTTTAATTGTTGCCGTGCATAATTTGTGATGAATTCAATTGGTAATTTGGTATATTTTGTTAAATAGTATCCGGTTGAGCGGAAGTTTTTGGCCGCATGCACACTTAAAACTCTGGGTCTTAAGTCATCATATTCCTAAGTATATTTAATTTTAATTTTTTGAAAGAACATAATTATTATTAATTTAAAATTAACTTTCCCCAGACTGTTCTTTATCTTTAGTTTTAGTTCTGTTTAGACAATTTTTTTTAAATAATTCTTTTTTGACGGCTGTTTTTAAAAAATATATTCATTTATGGTTTGTTCTTCATTTCATAGTTTCTGCATTAGGTTTTTTTTCATTAAGGTGATAGGTTTCATCAATAAATATCAAAAACCAGATTCTAGCTTAATAGAACCCAAATTTATAAGAAACTATTAACTAGATGTAAAAAAATTGTTAAAACTTGTAGCTTATGTAAGAAAAAATACAAAGATACTAAAATTTAAAAAAAAAATTATGTGATTTTGTTTGTTTAAATTAAACAAATAACACAAATATATATAATATATATATGTATTAGATTATATCATTTAAAAAAAAATATATGTACATTTTTTTTTTACCATTAACTGTGCGTTTTTCTTTTATCTATTATTTATTAATCCAATGAATAAAGGTGAAATCAAGTATGAGTGTATTATGTATGACTGAATTCAGTGCTATTTTCCTGAAATAAAATATAATTCCAAATTTGTTCATTGTACACTAAGAATTATATGAATGCAAATATGGATTGCACTTATGAAATAATGTTTTAAATATCATACTACTTGCATTCTGCTTATAGTTAGGAACAGATTTTAATTTTTTTTTCTAAATCCTCCTAGTGACAATCTATACCTCTATTATTTTTTCAGTACTCAACAAACTTGAGCATTGGAGATTCCAATGATTTTCAATAATAATAAAATATCTCATGATTAAAATAAACTAAAAGAAATGTATTTATATTATTAATATACTTAAACTGTAAAACAAATAATATATTATTTACAATATGATGCCTGTCCAGTTTCTCCTGTTTTTTATTAGGTTSATAATGGRCTAATGATTATGGACTATATGGTGCATCTCAGTTAAGTTGTTCAAAGATGGAAGGTTGAATTTGATTTTGAAGCTTTTTGACATGCAAATTAAAATGTTATTTATAAATCAAATATTTATAATAGAATGAAATATAGATGCAATAAAAATTCAGAACCAAAATATTTTTTAAATTACATTTAATGTAACATTTATTCTGTTCCATAACATTCTACCAGAAAAAAAATGTAAAACCATTACCTCCATTGCATTCTCAAATTTATATATGTTTTATGTAGTGTATTATATATTATTTAAAACTTAATACATGAACAGTGATATTTAAATTTCGCAAAGTATCCATTAGCGATTTACGTGTTTAAATTACAATATAATTATTATAATATCGCCCACTTCTTAAATTCATTGGACTGTAGAATAAATAAATTCTAGACATGATCTTTATATTTTTCAGCAAATGATAAAATCTAGATTGAAATTATGCCACTGTACTTGAAACGTTAACGCACTCTGAAAATAATGTGTATTACCTACATGACACGTTTATGTATTATTGTTAGGTACATACTAGTAATTATCTAACATTGGATACTAACTCGGTCTTACCTAGGAAATATATACTAGTGAAAATATTGTTATAGTAATACCTGCGTTGTTTCTAAAAATAAACTAAATTTTATAATATATTCCTACCAATTTTTTGTCTAGTTAAATRTGAACACATTATGTTAGTGTAATTGAATTTAAGTCATTTATCAATATCATTTTTTTATATACATTTTAATATACAGAAATACACCAAATCTATATTTTTTCCTAGAATGTTTTTTTTTTTTTTTAATATGCGCTAGACACAAGTAGTATTAGTAGAAGTTGATTAACTGATTTCATAAAAAGTTATTTTAACATGAGAAACRAAAGATGACAAATTATATCATACTGTAAGCAGAGATGATGATAACAATTAATATTAATAGTTAATAATATATGATGAATCATATAAGACCCGGAACTTGATGCATTTGCATCTTTTTTTTTAATGCTTTCGYTAAATACTCGTCTACATATAAATTTGATTCATAAAGTATATAATTTAATGGTATAATTATTTTACATGTTTAAGTATTTTTGGTGCCTTTTATTGTTTTTTTCACTTATATTTGCATTTTTCTTGTTGAATGTATGCAGTTTCCATTAGCTTGTTGATTATCAATTATCAATATTCATAATCTTTCTATTGTATTGATTTTACCATGTGTGTTTTTTTTTTTTTTGTGTCTGTCAATTGTCATCACGTTTTGGGGCAGTAAAAGTGCTTCGAATTTTGACTTCAGTACCTCGTTCGATCAGAAAGTGAATTTAGTTGGTACTTTGGGGGCTCAAAAGTGAAAAATTCTTAATACTTTTCTAAATAATCGAGAAAAACAAACTAAAAATTAAGGGAAAAACTGGAAATTTTACGCCCACTCATTTTTCGACTAAGTCGATTTTGGATTTTGTTGTAATTTTAAAACAAATGATCAAAGATACATGAAATTTTCACCCAATGTTTATATAAGTATATTCTATCCACCATGCAATTTTCGACTTAAGTTGAACTATTCATAAGCATTTGAAATTTTCGATCATTATTAGTTTTTTTTTAAATTACCATTGATAAAAATGTATTTGTTGGGTAGAAAAGCTTGAAAATTCAATAYTAGGCTCTTAACATGATGTTACAATAGCAGTTGAAAAATAAAAGAAATTCATAGTCACAATTATTTTATATAAGCATTCAAAATTTGAATTTTGACAAAATACATAAAAATCACGAAAATTCACAATTTTTAATAATCTATAATATATTCTAGACAGATAAACCGTCTTCGCTCAGAATCGTTTTTCGTATACAATGATAATATAATATCATTGGATTCAAATTCAATTCCATCCATTACAGTAACCCACTTGTAACCTACTGTACAGCAGTGCGACATCCACGACTTACCCCCTTTTTTTTCATGAAAATAAAAAATTCGACATAAATGAAATTKTACTTAAAGTAGTATTTTTTAATATATAGTTTTATCCAGTTAAATTAAAATAATTTTTATAATAATAATTATAACAATTTTTACAGTAAAATCAATTTCCGGGCCCTGAGATAAATAACTGCACAATTTTAAAGTAAAATCTGTATCTTAAATATGATAATTATATTAAATTTATTTATTTATTTACCTATGAAAATATGAAATTATAACTATTAGATATTAATATTACAAATTTACAGCATTCAGTTGTTGACGATTATGAACACGAAATTTCCTCTGTACGTCTTAAATGACGTTTTTATTGATATTGTACCAACTTGCTTTAAAATGTTTTCAATATTTACGGTATGATTTTAGATTCTGAGCGAAGCAAGGAATGTATTGATTTTACCATTATGTGTATTTTTTTTATTTTTATTTTTCGTGTCTTTCATCACGTTTTGAGGTATCTATAGTAAAAGTGCTCCGATTTTTGACATTATTACCTCGTTTGATCAGAAAGTGAATCTAGTTACTAGTTGGTACTTTTGGGGGTCAAAAGTTCCAAATATTTTTCTAAGTGATCGGTATAAACAAACTAAAAATTAAGGAAAAACGGGAATTTTTACGCACAATCAGTTTTCGACAAAATCGATTTTGGTTTTTGATGTAACATTAAAACAAATGGGCCATAGATGGCATAGATACATTAAATTTTCACTGAATCTTTAGATATATAAGCATTTTCTATATTTGATAAAATTTTCAAAATATTTTGATTAGTTTTGAGCATAGACATAATATAGTATGTCTATGGTTTTGAGCAGTATACTGAGTGACTTATAATTTGAAAATGTAATACAAGACTCCCAACATATTTTCACAATAGCAGTTGAAAAATAAAAGAAATACACAATTTTTTTACGAGCATTCAAAGTTTGACTTTTGACAACATACGTAAAAATCACGAAAATTCGCCAATTATTTTAAGGTAGAGATTCATAAAAATTTTTATTTTTAAATCTAAGATTTGAAAATTGTTAATGATCTATATTATATCCTATGTAGACAGCTGATAAACCGTCTCCGCTCAGAACCTTTTTTCGTATACAATGATATAATATCATTGGATTCAAATTTAATTCCATCCATTTCAGTAACCCACTTATAACCTAGCTACTGTACAGCAGAGCGACATCCACGACTTACTAGCTTTTTTTTAATTATTATTAATACTCTAGTCGAAGCTTAGAGCCATGATAGTAATTAGTAATGTAATAGTGTCAGGAAACTAATAAAAATGAAAACAATAAGGTTTATAGTAAAATCGTTTTATTCTGATGTCTACATAATTTGTCTACTAAATTTTGATGGTATTTAAATTTTATGCGAGCTGTGACAACTGACAAGATGACTTTTGAACTAGTGATGCCCAGTAATCTTTTGATATGAATTYAATTTTAAATAAAAATATTGCAAATTATAATTTTAAGATTGTCAATATTATTTGAGATGGAGTTAACCGCACACTCGTTTGTGCCAAACGATCATCACTTTCGGCTAACGCAGTAGGTGAGAGGTATCGCGCCGTCGTCGGTCCTGACCCTTGTAACAGTAGGTAACAATTAACAGCTCAAGTATAGTCAAATAACCGCAGCTGGTTATTTATAACCGCGGTGTATTGTATTATGTGTGGTCGACACTGGGTCGCTGACGGTCAAGGTCGCGTGGTCGTTATCATCGCTGATAACACGTACGGGTGACGCGGGGAAATTTGGAATAAAATCAACAACGGCTGTATAAAATTATGTTTGGAAGGTCGAGCAAAAAAAAAAAAACACACCGAAGAGCGAGTATAGTGATGAGTGGAGAGAAAACAATCGTACACTTCTTTCGCATTAACGATAATAATTAATAGGCTATTCCCAACGTCGCAATGGCCAGTGTGGTGATTGCACTTTACGCACAACGCACGATTATATTCTTCCCCACCTAAGGCGGTGGTCGCCGAACGGCGTATTGTTGTAGACGAAAAAAAGAATGGTCTACCACGACGACATTGGATTTGCTACGWATCACCATCACCGCCGTTATAACAATCGTCGTAAGCCTACAAGTTTTACGACTATTACTACGACTACTTCTACTACCACTACTGTCGTCGATTCTACTAGTTTTACTACAAGACGTAGTTGTACTAGTTTTACCACTTTCACGACAACCGACTCGTAGTAGTAGCACGGATTAGTAGTCAAATGTACGCGACCCGAGGACCATCGGTGTGCGCACTGTTCTTATCATCACCAACTCCTCGACGACTGTTGACGCGTAACAAGTAGGTAAGATAATCGAAGACGAGGTGTTCGATCGCCTTGATCTTAGCGACCGGTTTCCCATTTCCGTCTCGAGTTTTGTTCGGCTATGGACCGCGTTYGTACTTACGCCACTGCAGTGTTCTCCGCAGTCCACCACCACCGGTGTCTCTCGTAAAAATCGTCTGTCCACAAGGCCGTTGACTTAAGCCTGGGCAGTCCCTTCATATGGACGAGCGAAAATGGGCGACTTAACGTAAGCATTATACTTATACCCCTGCATGATAGATGATATGACCATTTGCCTATTTGAAGCTAACACTATCCTTTTTTTTTTTATTCTTTTTTGCACAACCAGGTTCTACACCGTAACCTACAACGTTGCAACTAGATCTCCCAGACAACCTCTAGAAGATTTGCTGCAATGGAACGGCCGCACCGAACAACAGCTACCAGATTTTTGTTTATTTGGGTGCGTTWGTTTTTTGTTTTTTAGTGTAATTTAATGCTGCTTAATATATTACCCGGAAAACGTTAATATTATATAACTTATGACTGTTGAAATTCACCTCAGTTTCTACCTTATGTCACCTAGAGAAGGTGTTACAGTTACAGTCACAGTAAATTATTAATTTTTTTTTTTTGAATTTCACCTAGGTATTCAAAAAAAATGTAATCACTGATCATACATTATCTGATTAGTCACAAGTCCCTACCTAAAAATATTTAAAATAGTTGTGTGAAAAAAAAACATGGACCATAACAATTCAGAATTCTTAAACTTGTTAACAATAAGACCAATAAAAACTTAATTTCCCTGCACCCATGATCCATGTAGGTTGGTTATGTTATTCTTTTATACATTTCTATTATTTATAGGTACCTATAGCAATATTGTATTGTCTAATTAATTATTTACTATCTGACAGAATCATACCTATTTATGATATAGTTTCATTTATTTTATGTCATATTCAACAAATATTTGTGAAATATTATATTTGTCTTATACAGGCGCGTACACAAAACAATATTTGGAGGGGGATTTTGGTTGTACATTTTTTAAATTATATAATCTAACCTATCTAACCCGGCTTGCACCGGGGTTTCATATGAAATCTATATTTATTTTTATGTGGTCATATAGTGGTGTGATTGACGGTTGTATAGATATTAGATAGTGATCGAGCACTAAACGAGAATGTAAGTCATATTACGATGGCAATGCGAGCAATTAATTAAAACTAAACTAACAAATAATAAATAATAAAACTCTTTTCCTGAAATTTCGAGGGGGGGGGGTTGAACCCTTAAAAACCCCCCTTGTATAATAAGCTCTTATAATACTATAAACAAAAACCTGTTTATAACATTCAAAGTCGAATGATACTCCCCACTTTTTTACTTGAATGTTTTAATGTTTATAATATTAAAATGTATGGTATTTATTTTATGATTTGCATTTTGTACAATGATCATAATTAATATATATTCTTTTATTATTCTAATTAATTATAAAATCTATTTTTATATGCATGCATTCATAATACTACTGTAAATTAAAATTAAAATTTGGAAAATATGACCTTCAGAACTCAAAAGATGTGAAAATCCTGATAATTTGATTTTGTATATTAGCAAAAGATAACATTTCTCAATAGTTAGTTTATTATTATTTTATAGTGAAACTTAATTAAAAATATATTTTTTTAGATTCTAATTTAAATATTACTGTATCATAATAAGTATTTTCTGTCTATTTCCTAAAATAATAAAATAGCTTATTCTATTAAGAAACTTAAATTATTCATCTAATTAAGGTTTTGTATTCTTGAGTATTTGTAAGTTGTAACCAACTACTGACAAAAAAAATCCAAATATTTTAACCCTGAAATGCATTCACTGTTTTCAGTWAAAACTTTTATGGCTTGATAAATATAGATCTTAGAGAATATCTTTAAGTTACCTTCAAATATGCTGTTTTTTATCATCTAAGTCTTCTGAAGAACATTATATTTACAATCCACTTGAAAATATATTAACTATGTATGCGATAACTATTAAGCATGTGCTAATATAATATTTAACAAATTAAATGCTCATAAAAAGAACTCGAGATTTGACATGTTTTGATGTATAAAATTCTYGTGTACTTGTATACCAACTAAAATAAATATTTAAATGTTTGTTCATACAAGGAATAAAACATTCTGTAACATATAACATAGGTAATCTTCAATAATCATTGATTACCACATATTAATATTTATAACATAAATATTTCATGAATAATATATTGAGTAGGTATTTTATTTGAATTTTCTTACTAGCTATTTTCGGTAAACAATTTTCATATTAGTAAATCTTCTTGAATTAATCATTAAATTTAACATAGTTAGATTTTACAGGTGATAAAATAAGACTGATAAATTTTGTAATTTAAATGTGTGTAGATAAATAAGTAATACATTAGTATTTTATTTTAATAAGTTCATWAAAATATTTGCTTTTTTTTTGCAAAAGATATAAGTTGATTTTGATTAATTATTTATACTCTGTTTTCAAATTCAAGGTTTCAAGAAATCAAGGCTCAACCTCAAAACTTATTACTCGATTCATTGTTTGATGACCCATGGACAGCTGCTCTTAGGTTCAATTAAAGCGATTAGTATTTAAATTTTAATAAAATGTTGTTAAATATATTATAGTTAAATTTATATTTTATAGGGATATTTTAAGTGACTATCATTATGTTAAAATACGAACTGTGAAAATGGTTGGATTGTTGTTAAATGTATTTTGTAAACGTAGACATGTTTCACTTTTAAAAGAAATGCAAACTTCAGAAACACGTACTGGACTTTTGGGTCTTTGGGTAATTAGTGYTGTATTATTTGTTTTAAAATGTTGAAATTGTTCTCAAAATTTATTTATTTTTAGGGAAATAAAGGTGCTGTCAGTTTTAGTTTTAAAATTTATGGGGCGACAATATGCTGTGTTAACTGTCACTTTGCCGCACATGAAGAATATTTAAAACACAGAATTGATGATTATCACACAATCATTAATAATCAATATTTTGGTTCATCAAGAAAAACCATTTTAAATCACGAGTATGTTAATCACTTTGTTTAATAATTAATTTCAATAATAAATGATTTTATATTATGAACATTTTATGTTGATTGTATGAAATGCTTAAAATATTATTTCTCTTTAAAAATGTATATTTATTTTTCCTTAGCTTTGTTTTTTGGTTTGGCGATCTCAATTTTCGTTTAGACAGTAGYAAATTGAAATCAGCGGAAGAAATTGCYTGCCATGTTAACAATGTGAATTTATCACTGAGAACTGCRAAAACCTTAACTGAAATTTGGGCCCAAGATGAGTTAAGTTCAGTTATGCAAAAATCAAAAGCTTTTAAAGGATTTTTTGAGCAATTGCCAATGTTTCCACCTACTTATAGATATGTTTTTGGTTCCAGCAGTTATGATCTTAAGTATAAATGACTTGTATAAATGAATAAGTATAAATATATTTCGTTTTAAAAAAAATTATTTTTAGGAGAAGGCCTGCATGGACAGATCGCATTTTATACAAAAATGTTGATTCATCTAATGAAAAGTATGTATTAGAGGTACTATCATATAAGTACATTGATTCAATACAATTAAGTGATCACAGACCAGTTTATAGCGAATCCAGTGTTCAAGTAATATAGCTTAAACATCTTTATTGATTGGTTAATTACTTATAACTCTATAATTTTTTTATAGATATATACTGAAGGACATTTCAACAATGTTGACCAACCTGTTATTTTCCAACCAATTAACACATGGCAATTAGAAACAGAAAATGAAGTTAATTTACAGATAAGAGAATATATTCCATGGGTGAATGATTGGATAGGAGTATTCAAAGTATGTAAGATAATTTATAAATTAGAATTAGAATTTTAATGTGCATATATTTTAGGAGAAATTTACTAGTCTTGATGACTATGTATCATATGTATACTTACCTTCAGAAACCATTGAATGTGAAGAATCAAATGATGAATATAGACGATTTGATAACATGACATCTGTGTGTAGAGTAAAATTTGTTCCTGAAATATTTTCAGATGGTTCAAAAAGGGTGTGTTTGAAATTTTCAGAAACTTCAGTGCTAAATCCAGGCACTTATAGACTAATATATTTTAGTAGTACTAATAATTCAGTGCTAGGAATATCAAATCCATTTATTGCCACCAAACAAACATGTGCATTAAATACGTCTCAAGAATTTGGTTGGTAGAATTTCAATATTTCCCTATTGTTGTATCATTAAAATGTTTTCTTCTTGATTAGACAGTAAATTATTTTATGTTTGTTCAAAACGTCCACTAGTTATTAAAGAGATATTGTTTTAAATTGTTTATTTCTATTATTACAAGTGTTAATTAATTGCTCATACTAGTATTTAGAAATTATCTGTGATTAAGGCTGTAACTATGTAGGATGGTTAATGCTGTAAACCGTTTTAGATATAGATAACAATCATTTTAATAAAAAATAAAATTGTTACACCAGGCGTTTTGTGTAGTTCTAGCAATCCGGCTAAATTAAAATAGACGATTATGTTAAATGAGAAGCTGTTAAAGTTTTGATATTTTTAGCATGTATTTTATTTTCATTGTTAAATATATTGTAAACCATTTTATACACCGTTTGTTTAACTTCAGTTTCTTGAGTTCAATTTTTAAATCAAAATAATGGTGTTTTTTAAATCTATTGTAAAATACTAAAATAGGATGTTGGTTAAGAGATACAAATTAATATATATATATATATATATTTTTTTTAATTTGTTGTTAAAAAACAGATGTATTACAATTACAATTTTATACTACAAAAAATAATTGGTATAGGAAGAAAATTGTATATCATTGTGTAGAAATCATCTACAACTTTTTACATGTAATAATAATAATAATAATAATAATAATAATAAATAAATAATTCTAATTCAAAAAATAAATAAGATATTTAATAAATACAATTAATTAAAAATTATATTAAATTGTTTCTTAGTTACAATTACAAAAAAAAAAAAAAACAAACAAAACAATGAGCTTTTATTTTCAACATGGTAATTGTACAATATATTATTTTTATATTGAAATTATGAACAATAACAAAAAATAAAAGGGACAAAAAATTATTTAATAAAAGGAGGGGTATTTAGGGGAATGTAAAAGAAGCAGAAGTAGTAATTATTAGTACTTTAATTATTTTTTATATATATGTGTAATATATATTGGAGTTATTGCATAATAAATATTGCACATAATCACTATGTGGACGGACAAAAGCTTCTCGTCAATATGAGATATTCTAGTATTTATCATAATTTATATTTTTTTCTATCGCCTGATAAAAATTGTTTAATACATTATCAAGTTATTAAATATTTTAATTGATTTTTAAATATTTAATTTACTAATATATGTGTATTTAAAACCTACTTTTTATCTAAACAAGAATAATTAATAGCCAGCCAATTCTGACTAATATTTTTTCTTGCTTTTTAATATATATATAAATTTTGCTTTATGACATGCGAGAATATCTGTGAAATTCATGGTCGATGGAATCTGTAAACAAAAAGTATTTAAATGTTTTAAAATAATATGAATATAGTTTACAATTTATATGATTAATGTGATCTATATATAAACTTAAAACCATCCATTCAGTAAATTAGAACTATTATTATATTATAAATACAAGTATAGATTTATTTCTTATGCATCATTATTTTATCTGTCTTTACATTACTAACCAACCTTGGATATTCATAAATTAAATATAAGTTCGCTTAAAAACAATTCTATATCAAGATCATGTGCAACTCAATTATCAGCTATTTCATTATATGATAATACCTATGATAGTATAATATTTATTAGCTATAATTATTATGGATGAGATCTGGTTAGGCGAGGAGAATAATTTATATACTATAGCTTTAGGATTATCTGTAATTATTCACTGAATACATATACAATTATTTCATATAMTAATACATTACATCGCATGTGCAATAAATTACGATTCAAAAAATCAATCTAATTTATAAGTAATAAATAAAAACAGAATTTTTGATTAATATCTCAAATAAGAATAACTTCTGGTAGGAGAAATGCGTATGGCTCGTTGAGAGTTACTCTCGAGAGTGTTACCTTATTATTTTATCAACCATCTACGGTAATACGGCAGAGCAYTTTTTTAGTTATTGCCCAACATCAGAAACAAAAGTTAATGAAAATAGTTTAATTGATACCTAATGAGTGTGATAAAAATAGAACAGATAAACATCAGTCAGTCTGCAGCTTAAATAATAAATAATACGGTTTAAATAGTTATAGGCGATATACCATTTTTGTTTCAATTTGTGTTTTTCTTCAGTTATTCAATAGTTTAACCGAGAAAATCGGTTATCTGCAGTTGTGTCAGCAATCCGTGGGTAACCAAGAGTTTATCATAGTAAATCTTAAGAGGATGTCTGCGTACTATTTGTTTTCTTTCTCTGGTCCACGTTCAACATAGACTCAGAATCATTTATTCTATGATTATAACTAATCTTAAAGTAAAATCAACCATTAAGATAGAGAATAACAATTTTGAGGGAATGAAATATTGATTTGTCTAAATAGAAAAAACAATTTAAACATCATTAAAATTACAATATTTTTTTGTTTATTTTGAAAGTTGAACATAAAATCTAATAACAATAAAACATAATATCAATATTTCATTCCCTCAAAAATATTATTCTTCATCTTTTTTGTAATGGGTGATTTTACTCTAAGATTACTGAAAAACATAAATAATGATTCTACATAAATTTGTTTTGTGTATGGTGCGCATGGGGTCAGAGAGAAAAAACAAATAGTGCTCCAGACATCATCTTAATAAAATTATAATTGTAAATGGGTCAAATATAAAAACCACAGGGTAAATATCAATTTTATTAATTTAAAATAAATAAATATTTATTAAGTAACATAACTATGCAGAGGTTCTACGACTTATAAGTGACTAATGTTTTTAAATATTATATGAAGTATGATAATATATATATCTTTTTTGTTTGTGTCTAGTTATTTAAAGATCTAAAGCCCGTTTCACATGTACGATCATATGTGACGTATCGTAAGCGCATGTCTTTATTTTACATGGATAAAGTTTATACGTGTCATACTGGCAAAAGTCTATCAATGGCACYWTCGTCGTGGTGGCATAGATGAATTTCACTAATGTAGCAAAAAATACGCGTGTACAATACGTCATATATGATACACGTCCATGTAAAATGAGCCTAAGTTATTTTGTCTATTGTAAATTACAGTTGCAATAAGTTTACAACTAACCTGGTAAGATGTTTACTTTCTTGATGGACTTCCATTTCTGAGCTTTTAAATTCATTTAGTTCTTTTCGTATAGCTGCTTTATCTTTGGTTGTCAACCGAGTCCATGGTTTGTCGGCCCGCCGATCATAGTCGTGTGCCTGTGTCACTTCTATGTAATCATTGAATCGAATAATCTAAAATKTTGAGAATTTAAAAAATGTTAAAAATATACAAAATCTAATTAAAAATTTAAGAATACATACTTTTTTCTCTTTCAATTCGTCAACTGTTGGCCTAAAACTTAATTTTCTTAACAACATGCGTTTCTTTTCTTCTTTTAATTTTTTTTCTTCTGCAGCTGTTTGTTCTGAAATTTAATGAAGTAATAAAAAAATTAATTTAATTTTTAAAATAATTTAAACAAAATATTATACTTTTTAAGATATTTCTTTCTTCAAGTTCTTCCTGTGTTGGCCGCATGCTCAAACGTCTACAAAATGATTTTAATTTAAATTAATTTGATAAGAAAAATATAATAATATTTTACAAGGTTTTAACAAGAAAAATATAATAATATTTTACAAGGTTTTAACAAGTAAAATATTAATTAAATACCTAATAAGCCGAGCACCAATAACTTCTTTTGTTTCTTGTCGCTCTTTATCACTCTGAACTTGAAGAATATTACGATTAATGAGCTCTTGTCGATTGGGACGCAAAGCTAATTTAATAGCAAGGCTATCTTTCCTTGCAATTTTTTCGGCCAATCGATCTAAAAATGAATTATAATTGTTAAGTAGAACTCAAATTACAAGCCAAAATTAAATTTGGTCCAATTTAATTAAAACCTAAATTAATAGTTAAATTAACTTACTGTCTAAATTATCATCTCTGTACAATATAGGTCCATCGCCAGAACTGTCATCATCACTAGACTCATTAGGCCTAGCATTTTCTTTATTCTCTTGTAATGAACAAGGTAGTGAAATTCCAAACACTACTGGACGATTAGCACCACTGTAATTAAATTAACAAAAATATTAATAATAGAACAATTTAAAATTTAACAAGATTTACCAAAAACGTATCCTAGGCTTAAGTGGAGCCCTTCTGCTATGCAGCGATAAACAAATTAAGAAAAAATAAAATAATGAAATGAAGAGCCAAATGTGAAATGATTGCCAAATAATTGGCAAAAAGGCAAACTATTCACTTTTCTTTCTTATAACCTCGACTATTGCATATTATTTTTATTTACTTCTTTTAATTTAATATTTATTATTCAACAACATACTTGAGCAACTGTGATGATTCTTGATTTTGATTAGGTGTTGATGGTTTTTTCAGTGCTGACTTGAGAGGCTGTGCATTAAAAACAGGTTCTTTAGCAGGAATCTGCTCTATATGACTAGGAAAATTGTGACGACTTCTTATTCTAAATCCATTAGAATCGTCATCATCATCTACTTCTTCTTCTTCATCGTCATCATCATCTTCTTCTTCTTCATCATAGTCATCATCATCATAATCATCTTCATTGGTGGCCATTTCCATTTCCTCATCATTGTTATCATTGGCACGATGATTTTGACGATTGTTATCTATTTATTTAAATAAAACAATTTAAATATTTGACAGAGTCTAATTTTAATAATTCTATTACGTTGGTATAAGTATGGTTGTTGAGCTGGTGAGCTGAACATGGGTGGTGGAGGTATTGGACCAACTTCAGACACCGGAATAGGGGGTTCAGGCAAATCAGAAAGCATTAATGAATGCCCAGAATGATTGTTATACATCATCCTAGGGCTGGAATGATAATAGCCTGTCCTACCACCACTGGCCATCTGAGACATATTTTGTCCAGGCATAATCATTGAAGATGTCCTATCACAATTTAACTTTGGAGATTCACAACCTATAATCATAAAAATAAATATATTAGAAAATGATTTCATGTACAAGTATAACATTGATTTAGTGATAAAATTACCTGATGGCAATAGTGAATTTGGAGGCCTGGTAGGTGACTGACCTGATCCTACCAATAGGGACTGATTAGGTGCATGGTAACAGAACAGGCGTCTGGTGAGCGTGCCACCAGGACCCGTGAGTGAGTTAGGTCGTTCAGGTTTTGAGCTNAAGAGCGAGTATAGTGATGAGTGGAGAGAAAACAATCGTACACTTCTTTCGCATTAACGATAATAATTAATAGGCTATTCCCAACGTCGCAATGGCCAGTGTGGTGATTGCACTTTACGCACAACGCACGATTATATTCTTCCCCACCTAAGGCGGTGGTCGCCGAACGGCGTATTGTTGTAGACGAAAAAAAGAATGGTCTACCACGACGACATTGGATTTGCTACGWATCACCATCACCGCCGTTATAACAATCGTCGTAAGCCTACAAGTTTTACGACTATTACTACGACTACTTCTACTACCACTACTGTCGTCGATTCTACTAGTTTTACTACAAGACGTAGTTGTACTAGTTTTACCACTTTCACGACAACCGACTCGTAGTAGTAGCACGGATTAGTAGTCAAATGTACGCGACCCGAGGACCATCGGTGTGCGCACTGTTCTTATCATCACCAACTCCTCGACGACTGTTGACGCGTAACAAGTAGGTAAGATAATCGAAGACGAGGTGTTCGATCGCCTTGATCTTAGCGACCGGTTTCCCATTTCCGTCTCGAGTTTTGTTCGGCTATGGACCGCGTTYGTACTTACGCCACTGCAGTGTTCTCCGCAGTCCACCACCACCGGTGTCTCTCGTAAAAATCGTCTGTCCACAAGGCCGTTGACTTAAGCCTGGGCAGTCCCTTCATATGGACGAGCGAAAATGGGCGACTTAACGTAAGCATTATACTTATACCCCTGCATGATAGATGATATGACCATTTGCCTATTTGAAGCTAACACTATCCTTTTTTTTTTTATTCTTTTTTGCACAACCAGGTTCTACACCGTAACCTACAACGTTGCAACTAGATCTCCCAGACAACCTCTAGAAGATTTGCTGCAATGGAACGGCCGCACCGAACAACAGCTACCAGATTTTTGTTTATTTGGGTGCGTTWGTTTTTTGTTTTTTAGTGTAATTTAATGCTGCTTAATATATTACCCGGAAAACGTTAATATTATATAACTTATGACTGTTGAAATTCACCTCAGTTTCTACCTTATGTCACCTAGAGAAGGTGTTACAGTTACAGTCACAGTAAATTATTAATTTTTTTTTTTTGAATTTCACCTAGGTATTCAAAAAAAATGTAATCACTGATCATACATTATCTGATTAGTCACAAGTCCCTACCTAAAAATATTTAAAATAGTTGTGTGAAAAAAAAACATGGACCATAACAATTCAGAATTCTTAAACTTGTTAACAATAAGACCAATAAAAACTTAATTTCCCTGCACCCATGATCCATGTAGGTTGGTTATGTTATTCTTTTATACATTTCTATTATTTATAGGTACCTATAGCAATATTGTATTGTCTAATTAATTATTTACTATCTGACAGAATCATACCTATTTATGATATAGTTTCATTTATTTTATGTCATATTCAACAAATATTTGTGAAATATTATATTTGTCTTATACAGGCGCGTACACAAAACAATATTTGGAGGGGGATTTTGGTTGTACATTTTTTAAATTATATAATCTAACCTATCTAACCCGGCTTGCACCGGGGTTTCATATGAAATCTATATTTATTTTTATGTGGTCATATAGTGGTGTGATTGACGGTTGTATAGATATTAGATAGTGATCGAGCACTAAACGAGAATGTAAGTCATATTACGATGGCAATGCGAGCAATTAATTAAAACTAAACTAACAAATAATAAATAATAAAACTCTTTTCCTGAAATTTCGAGGGGGGGGGGTTGAACCCTTAAAAACCCCCCTTGTATAATAAGCTCTTATAATACTATAAACAAAAACCTGTTTATAACATTCAAAGTCGAATGATACTCCCCACTTTTTTACTTGAATGTTTTAATGTTTATAATATTAAAATGTATGGTATTTATTTTATGATTTGCATTTTGTACAATGATCATAATTAATATATATTCTTTTATTATTCTAATTAATTATAAAATCTATTTTTATATGCATGCATTCATAATACTACTGTAAATTAAAATTAAAATTTGGAAAATATGACCTTCAGAACTCAAAAGATGTGAAAATCCTGATAATTTGATTTTGTATATTAGCAAAAGATAACATTTCTCAATAGTTAGTTTATTATTATTTTATAGTGAAACTTAATTAAAAATATATTTTTTTAGATTCTAATTTAAATATTACTGTATCATAATAAGTATTTTCTGTCTATTTCCTAAAATAATAAAATAGCTTATTCTATTAAGAAACTTAAATTATTCATCTAATTAAGGTTTTGTATTCTTGAGTATTTGTAAGTTGTAACCAACTACTGACAAAAAAAATCCAAATATTTTAACCCTGAAATGCATTCACTGTTTTCAGTWAAAACTTTTATGGCTTGATAAATATAGATCTTAGAGAATATCTTTAAGTTACCTTCAAATATGCTGTTTTTTATCATCTAAGTCTTCTGAAGAACATTATATTTACAATCCACTTGAAAATATATTAACTATGTATGCGATAACTATTAAGCATGTGCTAATATAATATTTAACAAATTAAATGCTCATAAAAAGAACTCGAGATTTGACATGTTTTGATGTATAAAATTCTYGTGTACTTGTATACCAACTAAAATAAATATTTAAATGTTTGTTCATACAAGGAATAAAACATTCTGTAACATATAACATAGGTAATCTTCAATAATCATTGATTACCACATATTAATATTTATAACATAAATATTTCATGAATAATATATTGAGTAGGTATTTTATTTGAATTTTCTTACTAGCTATTTTCGGTAAACAATTTTCATATTAGTAAATCTTCTTGAATTAATCATTAAATTTAACATAGTTAGATTTTACAGGTGATAAAATAAGACTGATAAATTTTGTAATTTAAATGTGTGTAGATAAATAAGTAATACATTAGTATTTTATTTTAATAAGTTCATWAAAATATTTGCTTTTTTTTTGCAAAAGATATAAGTTGATTTTGATTAATTATTTATACTCTGTTTTCAAATTCAAGGTTTCAAGAAATCAAGGCTCAACCTCAAAACTTATTACTCGATTCATTGTTTGATGACCCATGGACAGCTGCTCTTAGGTTCAATTAAAGCGATTAGTATTTAAATTTTAATAAAATGTTGTTAAATATATTATAGTTAAATTTATATTTTATAGGGATATTTTAAGTGACTATCATTATGTTAAAATACGAACTGTGAAAATGGTTGGATTGTTGTTAAATGTATTTTGTAAACGTAGACATGTTTCACTTTTAAAAGAAATGCAAACTTCAGAAACACGTACTGGACTTTTGGGTCTTTGGGTAATTAGTGYTGTATTATTTGTTTTAAAATGTTGAAATTGTTCTCAAAATTTATTTATTTTTAGGGAAATAAAGGTGCTGTCAGTTTTAGTTTTAAAATTTATGGGGCGACAATATGCTGTGTTAACTGTCACTTTGCCGCACATGAAGAATATTTAAAACACAGAATTGATGATTATCACACAATCATTAATAATCAATATTTTGGTTCATCAAGAAAAACCATTTTAAATCACGAGTATGTTAATCACTTTGTTTAATAATTAATTTCAATAATAAATGATTTTATATTATGAACATTTTATGTTGATTGTATGAAATGCTTAAAATATTATTTCTCTTTAAAAATGTATATTTATTTTTCCTTAGCTTTGTTTTTTGGTTTGGCGATCTCAATTTTCGTTTAGACAGTAGYAAATTGAAATCAGCGGAAGAAATTGCYTGCCATGTTAACAATGTGAATTTATCACTGAGAACTGCRAAAACCTTAACTGAAATTTGGGCCCAAGATGAGTTAAGTTCAGTTATGCAAAAATCAAAAGCTTTTAAAGGATTTTTTGAGCAATTGCCAATGTTTCCACCTACTTATAGATATGTTTTTGGTTCCAGCAGTTATGATCTTAAGTATAAATGACTTGTATAAATGAATAAGTATAAATATATTTCGTTTTAAAAAAAATTATTTTTAGGAGAAGGCCTGCATGGACAGATCGCATTTTATACAAAAATGTTGATTCATCTAATGAAAAGTATGTATTAGAGGTACTATCATATAAGTACATTGATTCAATACAATTAAGTGATCACAGACCAGTTTATAGCGAATCCAGTGTTCAAGTAATATAGCTTAAACATCTTTATTGATTGGTTAATTACTTATAACTCTATAATTTTTTTTATAGATATATACTGAAGGACATTTCAACAATGTTGACCAACCTGTTATTTTCCAACCAATTAACACATGGCAATTAGAAACAGAAAATGAAGTTAATTTACAGATAAGAGAATATATTCCATGGGTGAATGATTGGATAGGAGTATTCAAAGTATGTAAGATAATTTATAAATTAGAATTAGAATTTTAATGTGCATATATTTTAGGAGAAATTTACTAGTCTTGATGACTATGTATCATATGTATACTTACCTTCAGAAACCATTGAATGTGAAGAATCAAATGATGAATATAGACGATTTGATAACATGACATCTGTGTGTAGAGTAAAATTTGTTCCTGAAATATTTTCAGATGGTTCAAAAAGGGTGTGTTTGAAATTTTCAGAAACTTCAGTGCTAAATCCAGGCACTTATAGACTAATATATTTTAGTAGTACTAATAATTCAGTGCTAGGAATATCAAATCCATTTATTGCCACCAAACAAACATGTGCATTAAATACGTCTCAAGAATTTGGTTGGTAGAATTTCAATATTTCCCTATTGTTGTATCATTAAAATGTTTTCTTCTTGATTAGACAGTAAATTATTTTATGTTTGTTCAAAACGTCCACTAGTTATTAAAGAGATATTGTTTTAAATTGTTTATTTCTATTATTACAAGTGTTAATTAATTGCTCATACTAGTATTTAGAAATTATCTGTGATTAAGGCTGTAACTATGTAGGATGGTTAATGCTGTAAACCGTTTTAGATATAGATAACAATCATTTTAATAAAAAATAAAATTGTTACACCAGGCGTTTTGTGTAGTTCTAGCAATCCGGCTAAATTAAAATAGACGATTATGTTAAATGAGAAGCTGTTAAAGTTTTGATATTTTTAGCATGTATTTTATTTTCATTGTTAAATATATTGTAAACCATTTTATACACCGTTTGTTTAACTTCAGTTTCTTGAGTTCAATTTTTAAATCAAAATAATGGTGTTTTTTAAATCTATTGTAAAATACTAAAATAGGATGTTGGTTAAGAGATACAAATTAATATATATATATATATATATTTTTTTTAATTTGTTGTTAAAAAACAGATGTATTACAATTACAATTTTATACTACAAAAAATAATTGGTATAGGAAGAAAATTGTATATCATTGTGTAGAAATCATCTACAACTTTTTACATGTAATAATAATAATAATAATAATAATAATAATAAATAAATAATTCTAATTCAAAAAATAAATAAGATATTTAATAAATACAATTAATTAAAAATTATATTAAATTGTTTCTTAGTTACAATTACAAAAAAAAAAAAAAACAAACAAAACAATGAGCTTTTATTTTCAACATGGTAATTGTACAATATATTATTTTTATATTGAAATTATGAACAATAACAAAAAATAAAAGGGACAAAAAATTATTTAATAAAAGGAGGGGTATTTAGGGGAATGTAAAAGAAGCAGAAGTAGTAATTATTAGTACTTTAATTATTTTTTATATATATGTGTAATATATATTGGAGTTATTGCATAATAAATATTGCACATAATCACTATGTGGACGGACAAAAGCTTCTCGTCAATATGAGATATTCTAGTATTTATCATAATTTATATTTTTTTCTATCGCCTGATAAAAATTGTTTAATACATTATCAAGTTATTAAATATTTTAATTGATTTTTAAATATTTAATTTACTAATATATGTGTATTTAAAACCTACTTTTTATCTAAACAAGAATAATTAATAGCCAGCCAATTCTGACTAATATTTTTTCTTGCTTTTTAATATATATATAAATTTTGCTTTATGACATGCGAGAATATCTGTGAAATTCATGGTCGATGGAATCTGTAAACAAAAAGTATTTAAATGTTTTAAAATAATATGAATATAGTTTACAATTTATATGATTAATGTGATCTATATATAAACTTAAAACCATCCATTCAGTAAATTAGAACTATTATTATATTATAAATACAAGTATAGATTTATTTCTTATGCATCATTATTTTATCTGTCTTTACATTACTAACCAACCTTGGATATTCATAAATTAAATATAAGTTCGCTTAAAAACAATTCTATATCAAGATCATGTGCAACTCAATTATCAGCTATTTCATTATATGATAATACCTATGATAGTATAATATTTATTAGCTATAATTATTATGGATGAGATCTGGTTAGGCGAGGAGAATAATTTATATACTATAGCTTTAGGATTATCTGTAATTATTCACTGAATACATATACAATTATTTCATATACTAATACATTACATCGCATGTGCAATAAATTACGATTCAAAAAATCAATCTAATTTATAAGTAATAAATAAAAACAGAATTTTTGATTAATATCTCAAATAAGAATAACTTCTGGTAGGAGAAATGCGTATGGCTCGTTGAGAGTTACTCTCGAGAGTGTTACCTTATTATTTTATCAACCATCTACGGTAATACGGCAGAGCAYTTTTTTAGTTATTGCCCAACATCAGAAACAAAAGTTAATGAAAATAGTTTAATTGATACCTAATGAGTGTGATAAAAATAGAACAGATAAACATCAGTCAGTCTGCAGCTTAAATAATAAATAATACGGTTTAAATAGTTATAGGCGATATACCATTTTTGTTTCAATTTGTGTTTTTCTTCAGTTATTCAATAGTTTAACCGAGAAAATCGGTTATCTGCAGTTGTGTCAGCAATCCGTGGGTAACCAAGAGTTTATCATAGTAAATCTTAAGAGGATGTCTGCGTACTATTTGTTTTCTTTCTCTGGTCCACGTTCAACATAGACTCAGAATCATTTATTCTATGATTATAACTAATCTTAAAGTAAAATCAACCATTAAGATAGAGAATAACAATTTTGAGGGAATGAAATATTGATTTGTCTAAATAGAAAAAACAATTTAAACATCATTAAAATTACAATATTTTTTTGTTTATTTTGAAAGTTGAACATAAAATCTAATAACAATAAAACATAATATCAATATTTCATTCCCTCAAAAATATTATTCTTCATCTTTTTTGTAATGGGTGATTTTACTCTAAGATTACTGAAAAACATAAATAATGATTCTACATAAATTTGTTTTGTGTATGGTGCGCATGGGGTCAGAGAGAAAAAACAAATAGTGCTCCAGACATCATCTTAATAAAATTATAATTGTAAATGGGTCAAATATAAAAACCACAGGGTAAATATCAATTTTATTAATTTAAAATAAATAAATATTTATTAAGTAACATAACTATGCAGAGGTTCTACGACTTATAAGTGACTAATGTTTTTAAATATTATATGAAGTATGATAATATATATATCTTTTTTGTTTGTGTCTAGTTATTTAAAGATCTAAAGCCCGTTTCACATGTACGATCATATGTGACGTATCGTAAGCGCATGTCTTTATTTTACATGGATAAAGTTTATACGTGTCATACTGGCAAAAGTCTATCAATGGCACYWTCGTCGTGGTGGCATAGATGAATTTCACTAATGTAGCAAAAAATACGCGTGTACAATACGTCATATATGATACACGTCCATGTAAAATGAGCCTAAGTTATTTTGTCTATTGTAAATTACAGTTGCAATAAGTTTACAACTAACCTGGTAAGATGTTTACTTTCTTGATGGACTTCCATTTCTGAGCTTTTAAATTCATTTAGTTCTTTTCGTATAGCTGCTTTATCTTTGGTTGTCAACCGAGTCCATGGTTTGTCGGCCCGCCGATCATAGTCGTGTGCCTGTGTCACTTCTATGTAATCATTGAATCGAATAATCTAAAATKTTGAGAATTTAAAAAATGTTAAAAATATACAAAATCTAATTAAAAATTTAAGAATACATACTTTTTTCTCTTTCAATTCGTCAACTGTTGGCCTAAAACTTAATTTTCTTAACAACATGCGTTTCTTTTCTTCTTTTAATTTTTTTTCTTCTGCAGCTGTTTGTTCTGAAATTTAATGAAGTAATAAAAAAATTAATTTAATTTTTAAAATAATTTAAACAAAATATTATACTTTTTAAGATATTTCTTTCTTCAAGTTCTTCCTGTGTTGGCCGCATGCTCAAACGTCTACAAAATGATTTTAATTTAAATTAATTTGATAAGAAAAATATAATAATATTTTACAAGGTTTTAACAAGAAAAATATAATAATATTTTACAAGGTTTTAACAAGTAAAATATTAATTAAATACCTAATAAGCCGAGCACCAATAACTTCTTTTGTTTCTTGTCGCTCTTTATCACTCTGAACTTGAAGAATATTACGATTAATGAGCTCTTGTCGATTGGGACGCAAAGCTAATTTAATAGCAAGGCTATCTTTCCTTGCAATTTTTTCGGCCAATCGATCTAAAAATGAATTATAATTGTTAAGTAGAACTCAAATTACAAGCCAAAATTAAATTTGGTCCAATTTAATTAAAACCTAAATTAATAGTTAAATTAACTTACTGTCTAAATTATCATCTCTGTACAATATAGGTCCATCGCCAGAACTGTCATCATCACTAGACTCATTAGGCCTAGCATTTTCTTTATTCTCTTGTAATGAACAAGGTAGTGAAATTCCAAACACTACTGGACGATTAGCACCACTGTAATTAAATTAACAAAAATATTAATAATAGAACAATTTAAAATTTAACAAGATTTACCAAAAACGTATCCTAGGCTTAAGTGGAGCCCTTCTGCTATGCAGCGATAAACAAATTAAGAAAAAATAAAATAATGAAATGAAGAGCCAAATGTGAAATGATTGCCAAATAATTGGCAAAAAGGCAAACTATTCACTTTTCTTTCTTATAACCTCGACTATTGCATATTATTTTTATTTACTTCTTTTAATTTAATATTTATTATTCAACAACATACTTGAGCAACTGTGATGATTCTTGATTTTGATTAGGTGTTGATGGTTTTTTCAGTGCTGACTTGAGAGGCTGTGCATTAAAAACAGGTTCTTTAGCAGGAATCTGCTCTATATGACTAGGAAAATTGTGACGACTTCTTATTCTAAATCCATTAGAATCGTCATCATCATCTACTTCTTCTTCTTCATCGTCATCATCATCTTCTTCTTCTTCATCATAGTCATCATCATCATAATCATCTTCATTGGTGGCCATTTCCATTTCCTCATCATTGTTATCATTGGCACGATGATTTTGACGATTGTTATCTATTTATTTAAATAAAACAATTTAAATATTTGACAGAGTCTAATTTTAATAATTCTATTACGTTGGTATAAGTATGGTTGTTGAGCTGGTGAGCTGAACATGGGTGGTGGAGGTATTGGACCAACTTCAGACACCGGAATAGGGGGTTCAGGCAAATCAGAAAGCATTAATGAATGCCCAGAATGATTGTTATACATCATCCTAGGGCTGGAATGATAATAGCCTGTCCTACCACCACTGGCCATCTGAGACATATTTTGTCCAGGCATAATCATTGAAGATGTCCTATCACAATTTAACTTTGGAGATTCACAACCTATAATCATAAAAATAAATATATTAGAAAATGATTTCATGTACAAGTATAACATTGATTTAGTGATAAAATTACCTGATGGCAATAGTGAATTTGGAGGCCTGGTAGGTGACTGACCTGATCCTACCAATAGGGACTGATTAGGTGCATGGTAACAGAACAGGCGTCTGGTGAGCGTGCCACCAGGACCCGTGAGTGAGTTAGGTCGTTCAGGTTTTGAGCTACTTGGCTGTTCAGCTACATGCTGCTGCTGCTGCTGCTGCTGCTGCTGTTGTTGTTGTTGTTGTTGTTGCTGCTGCTGTTGCTGTTGTTGCTGCTGCTGCTCAAAACTTAATTCTACTGGCTCATTATGGCCTTGCACCGTTTCAGTCTTGTTATCTTTGTTCAAGTCTAAGACAATGAAATAYACAAAGATTAGCATAGTAGGTAGGTACAAAATTATTATCATGAAAATGTATTACATAACAAATTTTAGCAAGTATTTATTATTAATACAGTGGCGCCGAACTCAATTTAAAATGGGGTGAAAAATTGTGTGTAATGGAGTAGTAAAAAATTACCAAGTACCCACCTACCCAAAACCGTTACATTAAACCTATGCGGCTATACCTCAACGTTATCATCAGACAACAGTCATGTAAAATATTTTAGTATTTGTACAATTATTTCAAATTTTTTCTGTTAGATATCTACCCATCAGCATAACAGGACTTACTACCCACCCATTTAAAAGGGATGGCAACCGCCACCCGTACTATATAGGTTCGGCGCCAGTGCGCCACTGTATTAATGTTTTTATTATTATAACTCAAAAAAATTATAATTCAACATAAAAATTTATTTAGAAAAAATAACACCTTACAATATCATAATATAGAGGTATCCGTTGATTAATTGAAATTATAGTATTCGATATATTATGATTTTTAACCTCTTGATGAACAATTTTTTTTCATTTAATTTTTTTGTTGCCTATAAAAATGTCCTTCTTCAATTTTAAGGGAAAAAATATTTTAAATACATTTTTATGTTTGTAGTATAACAAAAAATAGTTGGTGAAAACCAAAAAGTAACACGCGACGTCAAATGCATGTAATGTTAAATGTTTACTGAGAGGCTTCATGGCAGAATGCCATATAAATATATAATAAGTGACAATACTCATAAAGAAGTATCGTGTTATTTAATTTTAATTTAAAACAATAGTGTCTACTTCTGAAAACTTTAAGTTTAAGTTTACCTAACTAAGAATGTATATTAATAATAAAACACATTTTATGAATAATTTTTTAATAATACTAAAATATCAATTATTTATCTAATTCAATCACTATTTTGATAGACACTGATTGTAAACAATCTATGATTATATTTTTTTGTACAAAAATATGATATGATGATAATAATTATAATCATATCGCATATTTTATGATTATAATTATTATATATTTGACATTTATTGCTTAATAATACTGTTCAAATATTCAGTAGCTTAAAAATGTTATTTGGCATTATCATAAACAACTATTACACTAGATATATCTACAATCTACAACAACACAATATTATTCTAACAGAAGTCATGGTCACAAAATATCGATATTTGGCAGGTTCACATTTTTTTTTTTTGCACCAAATCACAGAAAATAGAATACACTCAAAAATAATAATTTTTGATGTAACTAATCATTCTTTATTATTCTTTTCCACAAGGCCTAAATATTCTAAACTTAGAAAAACACATTCCATTTCACGTCACATATCTTAAATGATCCAGAAATAGTTAACTAATCTATGGTCCCGTGAGTTGCCAAATATACATTATTCTTTGCAAAATATCAACATTTATCATTAATGTTGTCTGTTATTTGTTTTAAGTTAATAAAACATTATTTTTATTTAGAGATCTTAAAAATTATAGTTATTAGGTATACATACCTATTAAATAAATATATTATCCTAAATTCCTAAAAGAACTAACTACATTTAATTTCATAGTCAAACGTACACAAATTAAAAAAAAAAAAACAGGATTTTTAGTTGGACACATTTTATGCAATGAGAGAAGTAATTGTGCAGTTAAAATTGTTATTTTGTGCAGTGCAAAAAATGAAATTCAGGATGACTGTATTGTATATTATAATACATTTACAATAATGTCGACATAAATGTACATGTTTACTCTTAAAACGTAATAAACTATTAACATTTGGTAATGCATAACGTGTGACCATTCGTCCCGCTTTTGATAAGTGTCCCGCGCTGACCGCTGTCTCCAAAGAACTAAAAATGTCCCGCTTTAAGAAAATTCGACTTGTGGCAGGTGTTTATTAATTACATTTCACAATCATACATTTATACTTTTTTATTTTTTTTATTATTATTGAGAATAAGGCTTCGACAGCTAAGTCATTGCCTACGGTTGTAGATACTATATTATTAATGGATACTTTAGTTATGATTGTATGTTTCATGATTACAGATTAAGTGATACAGTATTATATATTTGGTATGCGTAGATTTAGCTTAATATTTAAATTATTTTGTCGATGCCAATGGATTTGAAGAATACGCTATGGATCAGGTGGGTGTTATAATCTCCTACATTTATATTGTACCTATACAGTTTACAGTATACCTGTATATTTTACGTATACTGTAAAACACTACAACCCATAGTCCATAGGTTGTTGGGGGTCTATTATGATTAGGGCTCGGATGCTGTTACATTCAAAATGTTATAAAATTGATTGCATTATTGCTGTGAAAAAAAAAACCCAAAATTGCAATAAAAAAATATTTTGTACCAAAAAAATTTAAAATCATATATTAACAAATTATTTAATGAAATGGATTAAGTAATTTTATTAAGTAATATTATAAAGTTTTAAACGAGTAGATAATAAAAAAGATTCAAATTCAAATTCTCGTCAGTTTTCATTAAAAATCTGGTAAATTGCACGTTCTTCTTATTTTTTCAGAAATCTACAAATAATTTTATCAAAATTTAAAACTTTTTATTTAAAATAATTTTTATTTTTTTTTTTTTTAAAACCAAAAACCTAAACAGGTATAGTAAACCTTAAAAAAATATTGCACTGTATAATCTAACAAAAAAATGTGAAAACATAAAAAAATATAAAAAATTGTATTGAAAATGACGACAATCAACAAAATTGCAATAAAATTGAAAAAAGGTCAAAAAGTTGCTCTTCAAATTTKTATATATTAATTGGAACTCGTTTGAAACAAATTTATAACTTACTTAGCAACGAATCTTAACAAAAGAAAAAAAAATTGCAAATTAAACAACATCTTAGTTAGCCCTAATTATGATTAATTATATATTATCTGCGTTTTTCTGTTGTCATTGTTTATACAAACAATTAATGTTTTTTTTTTCAGTAAAGAAAATTGTTATTTTACGCAAAATCATATGGTCACGTTAGAAATGCATAATGCACATTGCACATGTTTTTTAATGTTTTTAATACAAATATTACCTACAGGGGTTAAAGTGGGGGACTTATGAGGACTCAGTCCCCTTACGTCTGACAGCGGTTAAAAAGGGTAGAACACGATTGAGAAAACGGTCCTTATCGGCTGTACCTTTTTTAATAACACGATTGAGAGCGTTATTATCTGCTAACTTTTATGCAACGTTGCCACATTAATTAAAAATATAAAATATACAATATATTATACAATAGATATCGATTACTATATTTCTTTAAGTGTTTGGTAACAGAATAAACTTACGTGGAATTAAATTTGATAAATAAAAATAAACACACACATCATTGTAAAATCAATACATTTATCACTTATTATTTATCAGCTCAAGTCATTTTTTTAAGATCAAAATTWAAAAAATTAATATTTATTTACAACATATTTTTATTTTTATTTTTTAGTTTCAGATTAAAAATTAAAAAAAAATCCAAAATCAAAAGCAAACATACTGAAAGTCTTTTCATTATCTTTTATTCCATTATAATTTATAATGGCTGATTATTTATATCATTAGACTTTTCAAAGTCGTTAATTTTATAAACAAATTTAAGGTGAATTTTGTCAAGAAACGCAAAAAAAAAAAATACAAAACATCAGTTTTAATCAGCAACATTTCAAAACACCATAAAAAATATGCCCTTGGATCAAAATTCCAGCCCTAAACATTTTTTTCTTTTAACTTATTTTTAATACATACAATCTATAAATACATTTTACAATAAGCATGTTTGAGGATTTACGTTTAATGACATGATTGACTTGATGAAGTAATCACCCAGCGGCAACACTTACTGGCAGAGGGTTAGAATTATCCCTAAAAATTATTATTAAAAGTTAAGATAAATGACAACGTCGCTCGAAAAATCGTTCTCAATTGTTTGATTTTAAGGTACAAAAAATTGTTTCTTTGATCTGCCGGCAATCGTTCTCAATCATGATGCCAAAAAGGTTAAACGTTCTCAATCGTGTACCGGTTAAAAAATGTCCCCTTTAACAAATTAGGATTTTATACATTAGACATTATACATAAAATTATATATGGAACGTTTAAAACTTTATGGAGACATTAGTCCCCTCTGGAATTTTTTCCCACTTTAACCTCTGATTACCTATACTGAAACGTGTGACTGATATAATAACACTGTATTTTGCTCGAGTATGATAAGTTATATAATGTCATTAGATTTACATCTAGATCAGTAAAAAATATTCTATTAAATATATACATATATAAAAGCTTTTTTCCTTTAAATGTAAGTTAAGGGATCATAAAATCAACATTAGTATTTAAAAAAAAATAAGAATATAGTATCTACCAACACAATCACAACATTTTAAATAAATTGTATCTAAAGTTAAGGTATATACTATATACCTTAATATAATATTAGGCCAAAATATTGAATTAAATTTAATATCATTTGATTCATAAAGAAACAAATTCAAAGTATGCTAACGTTTGAATATTTATTTTTTTATAAAAATTAATTATTTCAGTAACTTGCGTAAATATGAAGAAAAACAAGATCTATTATTAAATGTACTCAACATAAAAATAGCTGCATTTAAAATACATAACTATAGACGTATTTTACTATACTTCCGCTTGTAACCAATTTACTAGCGATACTGTCGAATATTAACTGCAATAATTATATTTTATACACAAATCGTTTACGTAAATTTCATTGATTTATAAATAATAAAATTTACTTTAAATATATAGGTATATTGTGGTAAAAAGTTGTTTGAGTATAGGTAGGTTAAAAKAAGCTTTAAGTTTAAATTTTTGGCAATACATTTATTCATAATGTATCATTAATTAAATGATTAATTACTGAAGTGAGTATTTTCCAAAGTTTAAAAAAATACTTGAA